CTGAGCAGGTCCTATGCTAGGAAACTCTTTCTTCCAGCTCTTAGAAAATGCTTATAATGACCGCAGTATTATAAAATGTACTTAAAAATAAAAAGATTCAGTGCATTGGGTTTGTTTTGCAATAAAGTGGTCACTATCATGCTGTTTAGAGGTATATTCTAAAGCCAACTTATGAGAAATGGCTATTAGCGAATAGTTCCAGAAGAACAATATCATAAGGATGACATGGCCCTTATTTTAGTCAATTTGAACATTGTTATATATGATTAGATGTTCTCAAATAATACTCTCTTGTTAACAAAAGAGGAAGGGAAAGACCCTAACACAGACCAGAAAACAATGCAATGTGTCTATAGTGATGTATCTTTCCAAAGTACACTCAAATTTACTTTGGTAGGTTAACATATCCCAGACCAAAATTGAAAACTGGCTACATTCACTAGCATACTAAGGCAAATTTATTCATTTCTTATGGTGTTATTATCCCAAAGGAAAATGATATGATTTTAGAAGCACACATACTGTGAGAAGAATGTTATTGAACATACACCTATCTAGTATAATTAACAGTCTTAAAACATTCCTGCATTTGAGAAGTGTTTATTTCTTACCTGGAGCTGTCATGTGTTTATTTGATTCCATCACTTTGCCTCTTTTTGCAGTAAGGTGCCTATCACACATAGAATTAAGGGCTCTAGAATGTCTATAATAAGGAAATAAACCTTTTATTTTTCAACGTTAACACTTTTGGCAACCACAAGAACTTGAATCCAAGCTTTACACCTTGGTGGGCCAGGAAAAGAAGGATTGAAGGATTACCTCCAGGCAGAGTCTCACATTTGCAAAAGGTAATAGAAACAGAAAGGGCTCACTTTACATCCAGCTGTGATGTTTTGTCTCAAAAGCCTAACATCCTTCACAGGAGAAATGTGTCTATCTTATCACCTCCTTGAAGGACTGAATGGGAGCTACTGGGATGGAATGGGGAGCAGACACAGAAAGTAGGATAAAATAAGCCCCCTTCTGCTGATGAAAGATCAGGTCTCGACTTGAACTTAACCATTTTTTTTCTCCCCAATCCTGACATCAAGCAGGGCAGAGATCCATAACATGCTGGCTAATGGCTTATGGGATCACTCAACTACTGGTTTCCAATCACAACCCTGCTGCTTTCTACCTCAGTGATCTTGGAGTATTTACTTGCTCTCCCTGAATCTCAGTTTCCTGATGTTTAAAAGCAGAATGTCATTATGTATTTCAATAAGCTGTTAAGGGAATTTAAAAATAAGCTAAGGAAAAAAATATTGAATATTTGATATTGAAAAATATTAGTTTCCTATGTTTCCCTTCATAATTTTGATAGAGTCCCTTTCAGAATAACATAATATAGAAAGTAAAAAATACCATAAAATAACTTATAATATCTCAGTCTTTAACAAATGACTATAAATATTTTAGCATCATTCAATTTAATCCTTCTAGTATATATGTATATGTTTTGTGTGTACACATTTTTTTTTTTTTTTTGAGATAGGATCTCCCTCTGTCCCCCAGGTTGAAGGGCAGTGGCACAATCACGGCTTACCACATTCTCCTCCTGGGTTCAAGCAATCCTCTCACCTCTGCCTCCCAAGTACCTGGGACTACAGGCACACACCACCACACCTGGGTAACTATTTTATTTTTTGTAGAGACGGGATCATCCTATGTTGCCTAGATTTGTCTTGAAATCCTGAGGTCAAGTGTTCCTCCCACCTTGGCCTCTCAAACTGCTGAAATTACAGGCATGAGCCACCATGCCTGGCCTATGTATATTTCCAAATAATATTTTACAAAACATTGTAAAACAAACCCAGTATGTTTTGTAACTAGTACATCTAAGACTTAAAGAAATTTAAAATGTTGTAGTAATTTCATCAGTTCTTTCTTGCATTGATTTCTTCCTTTTCTTTCATGCTAAAAAAGCTTTCTTTACTTTAATGTTAGATGCATATCTATACTATCTTCAAGCTTTTTCCTGCTTTCTTTTTTTACCTTCAATCCTTTGATCCGTCTGGAATTTATTTCAGTATATAATGTGAAGTAAAGGACTATTTTTTTTTCCAAAGAGTTAGCCAGTTTTTCCCAGAATCATTTCTGAAATAACTCTTCATTTCTTTACTAATTTAAATGCCAGTTTTATCATATACCTGAACAGGGTGCCAAAATGGTTTAATCCACATGCCAACTTCGATAGCCTAATAGTGTTCATCTAGAGTATTCTGAGATCACGTCCAGGCCCAGCAGGAAAATGTGACAACATCAATTACTAGTGAATGCCTTCCATGGTAACAATATGGGGAAACAAGGTAACTATGCCACAAATGTGCCATCCTGCACTAACTCATTGATTTCTGGGTTTTCTAGTTCATTTCTATTGCAGCTTTATGATATGCATTTTAATATCTTGTAGGCCGGGTGACTGTTTTTTTCTATTCTTAATCAAATTATGTATGGTGGTTCTTTAATGTTCATTTCAGATGGATGTCATTTTCTCTTTACAACTTTCCTTAAAAACTTGTTAGAATTAATTTATAATAGTAAATTTATTTTAAAAATATGACAAGACATGACATCTTTACAACAATGAATCTTTCTACCCAGAAATTTAAGTTGCTCCATTTAGTCATGGATTTTACAAATTAATAAAGAAAATATGTATATATATATATACACACACACACACGTGTGTGTATTTGTACATTTATATACATATACACACTCATACACATATACACATATATATTTCATGGTCTATACTTCTTTAAGTTTGTTTCAATATATTTTATGTTATTTATTGCTATCATGAATGGAGATATTTGTCTATAACTGTTTCCAAACAATTATTTTAAAATTATTACTTTTATATGTATTTTATATCCTCTTAGCTTACTATTCCGTCATGTCATTTCTAATAATTTTTCTGCAAACACACTTTGACTTTTAGGTAGACAATGACATTGTATCTGAAATTATTAGATTGCTATCTGAAATTTTCTTGTTCATTTGTCTCCTTATTGTCATCCTCTACATATTCACTCTAAATAATACACTCCATGGGAGCAGGCCTTGCCTGTACTGTGCACAGTTTGATCTCCATGGCTTAGAAAAGTAACTGCCACATGGTAGATACTCAATAAATACTTAATGAATGACCCTGTTCCTTGAGATAAAATCTTGCAAAAACAACGGCAATATTCCCTTCATATTTCTAAGAGTTAGATCTCAAAGGTTTTTTACCTGACATAATACATTCATTAGAACTTCCAGAATACCATGGTGGAGGTGGCGATTTTTCCTTATTTTTTACTAAAACTGTAGTAGTTCTCTATTACATATATAATTGATATTTAAATGCTGGCTTGGGAATCACTTGTTACTATTAAGAATGCACTTTCTATAACTATTTTTGTTCCTTGTTTTATTTTGTCTTATCTTTTTCTTAAGATATGGAATAGATATAGAACATATTTTGGATATTTCCTAAAGAAAAAATACCACGTAGGTTTTCTCCTTTGGTCTACCAAGATGATTTACAGTTTGAGTGAAAATAATAACTGGATTTTTTTATGAGGGAGACCAGTTAGAGACTCTCATATTCACATTAGAAAAACAGTATTACTACGTTTATAAAATGTTACTCTCACACATGTTTTAACCTCAGAGATGCACTGGCATTAAAGTCTTTCATGCATGGACTATCCAAGAATCCATATACCTGAGGCGAAAAATATGAAAAAAGCAACAACAAAGAAACTAAGAAGTTAAAATATTTTCTAACGTTAAATATACTGCCAAATCTTCAAATAAGACCTCTCTTGTCAGCATGTATTTTCCTAAAATATACTCTTCAATCTATTTGTCTACTCTGGTAAAGTTGTCTCTAATTAACATTTTATTATTTAAGTTATTTTTATTTTCTTCATATTATTTCAGCAGTATTATTTATCTAAATTTGAGTATTGAATGCATAGTTTATTTTCACTTTTCCTTACTTAATTAAAAAATAGACTAAAATTTGTCTATTAATTATAGCTTTGTCCTATGCCATACATTATGACATTTTATCCCATCATTGCCACTATTTTCTTTCTTTTTTTTTTTTTTTTTTTCAGACAGAATCTTGCTCTGTCACCCAGGCTGGAGTGCAATGGCAAAATCTTGGCTCACTGTAACCTCTGCCTCTCAGTTTCAAGCAACTCTCCTGCTTCAGCCTTCTGAGTAGCTGGGATTACAGGTGCCCACCTCCAAGCCCAGCTAATTTTTGTATTTTTAGTAGAGACAGGGTTTCACCATGTTGGTCAGGCTGGTCTCGAACTCCTAACCTCAGGTGATCCACCCATCTCGGCCTCCCAAAGTACTGGGATTACAGGTGTGAGCCACCGTGCCAGGCCTATTGCCACTATTTTCTTGTTGGTGATTAGTTTTTATTTCCTTTTGATACCAAAATTTAGAAAGCTGAGTTTTAAGTCTCCAGTGATTTTCTTACCTAAAGCTTTGATATTAATTTATACTTTACTGCTTGGTGGTCAGATAATATAAACTGTGCTCTTTCTAGTTAGAGAAATTTATTCAACCATATTAATTATATCCTCCAATTCTTCCCAAACCATGTGGTCAAAGACCCAGAATAAAACTGTGTTTCTAACACAATTAATCTTTTTCTTTTCTTTTCTTTCTTTTTTTTTTTTTTTTGAGACAGAATCTTGCTCTATCACCCAGGCTGGAGTGCAGTGGCATGATCTCAGCTCATTGCAACCTTCACCTCCTGGGTTTAGGCAATTCTTGTGCCTCGGTCTCCCCAGTAGTGCGGGACTACAAGCATGCAGCACCACACCGGGCTAATTTTTGTAATTTTAGTAAAGATGGGGTTTCTCCATGTTTGCCTGGCTGGTCTTGAATTCCTGGCCTCAAGCAATCTGTCTGCCTCACCCTCCCAAAGTGCCAAAGTGCTGGGATTACAGGCGTGAGCCACAGCGCCTGGCCCTAATCTTCTTTTTTCCCCCCCAAAAAAGTTTTGCTTTATAAATATGAAGAGACAGCTTTCTTAAACTCCTGAATGCTGGAAGTAAAGATGTTTGGGGAGCCCCAGAACTGTTCTTTCCCCTAGATGAGAATGCAGCTTTGAAAATTTTGCACTTGTTTAAAAACAAACAAAAAACCTCTAAGAGAAGCCTATCGATGTTTGATGCAACTTTGGTGACGGACACCCATGTGTAACTGGATTCCAATTTCGCAAGTATTTGGCCTCCCTTTCAACTCAGTGAAGACCATCGCTAGACCATACCTGTGCCAGAAGAGTCAAGGGCAGCAGTGAGAGGGCCAAAGGAGAAGCCATACAGTCAATTGCTGCATCCTTCCTCTCTATACAGGTAACTCTCTTTTGTTTAACCAAATACCCTTGGGAAATTTTATGGTAAACTTATAACAAGTAATGCTTTGGTCTCTTCCTGCTAATCTTAATAACCAAACTGCAATATACAATTTAATCAATGCAATTTAATTTGACACTCTTTTCTTTGGTGTTTGGTATATACACTACGACGACTGTGTTTTCACTATGGATGTTTCTTTAAATTATTTAAATAAGTCCTTTTTTCTCATGTAATGCTTGTCTTATATTCTATAAGTTGTATAATTTTCCCTATTTACTATATATCAGTAAAGATATATGTCAACCCATTATTTGATTTTAATCTTATTGTGTCATTTTGTTTCAGGCCTTCTACAAACAATTTTTATAAAATCTAATTTGAGAAAGCCTCTGCCCTTTAAAGTAAAATTTGATACATTTGTATTCACTAGCATAATTAAATGTCTCATTTTACTTAGGGATCAGAGACTTTAAGAACTCTATTGGATTTAGAGAAAGACTAAAATGTGTTACTCTACTTATTCTACTCCAGGTGGGGAGCAACAGGAGCGACTCTGCCCCGACTTAGTGGAGGTTTTCTTGGATAAGAGCCAGCTGCAAGACCCAAAGCCAAGGGTGTTCCAGGAAGTTCTAACTGATCCTTTAGGAATTCTGCAGCATCTATGTGGAAATAAGATTCCTTAGATCTGTTCAAGAATCACATGTGAGAGTCAAGAAATAGAGACCTTATAATTATTTGCCAATAAAGTACTGTGAGCCTCAGAAAAACTACACAATGAAGTCAGACAACAATCCTCCCCATAAAAAGAAGAACAAATATTGGGGGGAAAATTCAGTGCCCTTGTGACAGGTTTGGAAACTAACACAGAAAAGGATTGCATACTTACAGTTAATCTTAACATTTAAGAACTGTTTGTGAAACTAGACTTTTAAATTTTTTGTGTGTGAGTTCAAAACGACACAATTGGCACACTAACCAATTCCTTACCCTAACTTGGTTCAATTTCTTTCATTGGACAGGAGGCCATTTAGAGACAGAATAGTGAATGTGTTCAAGGATTCAAGAAAAAACTAGTATTGATTTCCCTGAATAGATGCTCACAATACAAACAGATTTCTCATTGCAAGACAAAGCTGTTGTGTGTCTGGTATACATGGATTTCAGGACTATTTGCTACATTAGCAAACTTAATTGTTTTCTCTACTGACAGAACTTCTAGAAACTAAACAGTGACCACTAATATTAGATAATGTGGTTACGATTTTTATCTATACTTACCTAAGAATCAATATAACCTGATGATATACTAAAAATAATGTAGAGTTTGTATTCATTCTCTTAAGTGCATTTTCTATTATTCACAGAACCAGATTTTTGAGTGGTAAGATTTTCAAAAGTATTGTAAAAGAAAGAAGTTATTTATGAGTTATAAAGTTATAAATTTCAATAGCTGAATCTCAGCTACAAACATAGATCCTCATGTGTAGTAAGAATAATGATTTTTTTAAGATATAAATCTTTTAAAAAGCAAGCTTTGGTTTTATTTTGGTGGGTATCTAAGAAAAGCTGATGTGCCCATAGATCAAATAACCAATTACAACATTAGATATAATTGAATTAAGGGAAGGCTTTCCATATTTAGTTCTACTAAAAACAATACAGATGTCATTTAAATAAAAACAAGCTCCCTTTGCTATATGCTTTATTGCTTCAATCGTACAGACATATTGAAGTGAAGGCATTTTGTTTTGTTTTGTTTTGGTATGGGCTATGCATTTATAAAATGTATATGTTTACTCCAAAATAGAGACTATAAACATAGTGACATAAACATATTTATATGCATGTAAACATATGTGCATAAATATATATATCTACAGTTAGGTGTGTGTGCATATATTTATATATATGTATATATAATTTCACATTGCTCTAGTAAACATCCACATAAAAATTAGATTACTAAAATTTGACTTTCTGTGGTTAGGCTCCTTTCTCTCCTAACTATTCTTAATGTGAATTTAATTCATTCTCAGATATTTTTATCTGGCATTACTATGAAAAAGCTATACTGTATTATGATTAGCAGTGTAGTAAAACAAAATAGATATAGTTTCTAAATATACAGATAAACATAAAAATGAAGTTTTTTTATATAATTTGTTAAAAATAAAGTTTTTAATATAACACATACACAAATATATAAACAAATACATACTAAATTACTTACTGTCTCAGAAATTTCACTGTGGTATTTGTTTGTACTAAAAGAAAATTTCTAATTGCTTTGACATTTGTACAATTGAAACTCCTTTGACTTGTCACCTGCTGATTACTCGAATCTCTTATATTTTCCTAAGTCTGCACTCAATCATTCAGTCAGTGCTATCAGTATGGGGTCACTGGAAAATGGCACTTAATTTAGTTATTATGCCTCTTGTTTTTGCAGCCTCAAAACCCTTCGAGCACTTCATTTTGTTGACTAATTATTTAAAACACCATCTATTTCCAAGTTTCTAGGTTTACTCATTTTGTTGCACCTACTGGGGAATCTGAGACCTCCTTTAAGTCTTCTAGAATGAAAGTTAAGTATTTCTCAAGATGTAAAATTAAACGATTTTCTTGTTCCCTACGCTATCTACAGGACCAAATGTCTACTTTAAATCTGAAGAACAAAAGGAAAAATAATAAAAACGAAATTCTTATCTTTGTATGAATAACTGCAGATTTTTTTAATGCTTAAATGTAATGAGCTCCTTAATGAATCATGATTACATTATTATATTTGGAGGACAAAACACAGGTGAGATAAATCAGAACAGCTGCTCAATATAAATCCATAGTCCACCCAAGTTACTGAAAGAATAAAGTACACCTGAACTCTGGAGGCTGCTATTTAAATTTCAAATCATATTAAACACATTTGCTACAATCACTTTGGTTAGAAGATTTTAAAACTTACATTGAAAGTATTGTCTTTATTTTAGCTTCAACAAATCAAGTGTCATGCACATATATGGATAATGAGTTTATTTCTCATTCTTAAAGGGTAAAAAAGAAGAAATCTTCCTAAATAAGTAGTTAATATAGTTAATAAATGCTATTGACTGGAAAAATATCAACAACATTTTGTACATAAAACTTATGCTCATTTTTAAAGGAAACCTCTAGAAAACCAAACACTATATACTGAATATGTTAAAATTCTAACCTCCAATGTGATGATATTAGGAGGTGGGCCTTTGGTAGGTGATTGGGTCCTACCCAATCATCCATGGCTCTGCCCTTATGAATGGGATTGGTGCCCCTATAAAAGAGACCCCCGAGAGTCCCATCACCCATCCACCATGTGAAAAGGTAACTGTCTATGAATCCGGAAGCAGGCTCCCACCAGGACTCAACCATGCTGGCACCCTGATCTTGGACTTCCAGCCTCCATGACTGTGAGAAATCAATTTCTGTTGCTATAAGAACAGAAACTGGTGCTATCTCAGCACCGTCAACACTGTATCTTTAGCCAAGAACTACTTTACAGTCTCTTTAATTCATCAATAATCATATGCTTGTTCCCTTTAAAAAACCATTAATGTTCATCAGCTTAGGTTGCTATAATAAAATACCACAAACTGAGTGGTATAGCACCTAAGTTACACTGCTATAATAAAACACCATAAACTGGATGGTATAGCACCCAGCAGCCTATTACAGCAGCCTAAACTGATGACGACACTGATGGTTTTTTAAAGCAAATAGGCATATGATTATTGATGAATTAAAGTGACGGTAAAGTAGAAGTTCTAGGCTAGAGATACAGCGTTGATCCATAGTTTCCAGGTTATTATTAACTGGACCTTAGCTTCAGCATCTCTGTTAGCTCTTTCTCAATTTAGGCAAAAAGAAGAGAGGCTCATGTTAGTTTTATGGTTATTAACTAGAAGTCTGCATCAATATGGTGTAAGAATTATTTCATGACTGCCAGGCACCCAAAGCAATAGAAATATACAATAATTAATTCAGTAATGTAACATTAAAATGGAAATATGCATCAACTTAGAGTGCCAGAAATCCTAATATACCAAAGCTGATAAATCAAAGCATTCTGCATATGAAGCATGAGGAAGTATGTACTCATTCTATGAAATCAAAATTATGGCATCAGGGCAAGTTTAGTCATATTTTAAAATAATATTTATGTCCTAGAAATAGAACTATTACAAATGTACACATTTCAAATCGTATTTAGAAGAGAAATTATTTCTACTTCTACATTGAATTTATTTTTATAAATTTTTAATTGAGCAGAGTACCTACTTCTCTTCTCTCATGGCCCAAGCAACGTCAATGTCAATGTCAATGTCAATGTCAACGTCAATGTCATGCCTTTCACGGTGACCTTCCATGTATCTCTTACTCCCTCCGGGGCCTCATTTCTTACACCTCTTCCTCATTACCAAACTGTCCTCTGGCTCAGAAGGGTCACAAAGATCTCTTGGCCCCTTCTTTAAAACCACCCACCTAACTAAACGATAACACTCAATGTTGATAATCATGTTTTAATGATCTTGCCTATTCTGCATATAAAAACTATTACACTGGAAAGTATGCAATACATTCATCTTATAATTATTTCTTTATAAACATGATTTCATTTCATCTTTGAAAAAAAGACATCTGAATTAGCATTAGGGACAGATACTAATGCATTTCCTCTAGATGAGGCATGGGTACCAAGCTGTGAGGTGGCAGATCCAGGACCTTGCAGCTGGTTACGGTCAGCTAGGATTCAGTCCTGGATGAACTTCTGATTCTCACCTTAGGGCCCTAGTGGAAGGGCCACCACTAACCCAGGTTAGTGCGAATCCTGCTCCACACTGGAGCTTGAGTCTTATTAAAAATGAGAGCACACTGGATTGCAGCACCCACTCACCCCTCAGCCAAGTGCCAATGTGCAGGGTACCATCTGCACCACATGCGCAGTGCCCTAACTAAGGAGAAAAGGAAAGGACAACTTAGTAAGGGCCTACTGTATATCAAGCGCATTATATTAATTATCTTTCATTATTGTTGTTGTTGTTTTGAGATGGAGTCTAGCTCCATTGCCCAGGCTGGAGTGCAGTGGCGTGATCTTGGCTCCCTGCAACCTCTGCCTCCCGGGTTCAAGCAATTCTCCTGTCTTGGCCTCCCGAGTTGCTGGGATTACAAGCATGTGCCACCATGTCCAGCTAATTTTTGTATTTTCAGTAGAGATGGGGTTTCACTATGTTGGTTAGGCTGGTCTCAAACTCCTGAACTAAGGTAATCTGCCTGCCTCAGCCTCCCAAAGTGCTTGGGATTACAGGTGTGAGCCGCCTCACCCAGATAAATTATCTTATTTATTATCCCAAACAATTTTATGTAGTAACATGCATGGAGCTATCATCTCCTTCTGAAGGACCAGCCTGAGGCTGTTTACAATTAACTTTGTTTATATAACCACATTTTAAAATAATGATTAACAGTATAGTAAATTCATAAACCAGTAACATAATTGTTTATTATCATTATCAAGTGTTATGTATAGTACATAACTGTATGTGCTAGGCTTTTATGCAGCTGGCAGATTAGGCTTGTTTACACCACCATCACCACAAACACATGAGGAATGCTTTGCGCTATGACATTAGGACAGCTTGATGTCAGCAGGCAATAGGAACTTTTCAGCTCCATTATAATCTTATGGGACCACTGTTGTAGATACCATCTGTCATTGACCCAAACATTGTTATGCAGCACATGACTGTATATTATGCTGCCAACAGCAGAGCATCTAAATATATACGCATTATATATTTTATATATATAAAGACTTTAAGAGGTCTGAAGACATCCAGCCTAACAATGTTTCAGTCAATGACTGAACGCATACACAACACAACAGTGGTCCCATAAGATTTTTATGGAGCTGAAAAATTCCTATAACCTAGTGACGTTGTAACCATTTTAATATTGTTGCCAAATGCATTACCTTTTCTATGTCTAGATACACAAATACCGTTGTTTTACAATTGCCTGAAGTATGCCATACAATAACATGTTATACAGGTTTGTAGCCTAGGAGCAACAGGCTATATCATATAGCCTAGGTATGTAGTAGGCTACACTCTCTAGGCTTGTGTTGTAAGTATTCTCTAAGATGTTCATACAATGAGAAAATCACCTAACCTTGTATTTATCAGAACCTATCCCAGTCAACAACGCATGTGTGTATGTGTGTCTATATATTCAAAATTATATTTACACACCTACACCTACACTACATATATATATAACTTCTAAACTATACCTATACATGTGTGTATACACACACACACACACACACACTAGATTTATACATGTACTACATATATCTAGTATACATGATATGGTTAAGCTATATTTTTATGATATATATGCATAGTATGATTTAGTGAATAAGCATTTCTTTCAATGTAAAAGAAACACATCTGAGAGGGAACTAGTGACATTTTAACTCCATTTTGTGATTTTAATAATTAACTTTTATATTCACCATATTCTAACTTTTTTACAGTATCAATAAATTAATATCTCCTCCATTATTTTTAGAAGTACTTAGATTAAATATCTAATTATAGAGTGCTTTTCATATTTCGAAAAATATCAAATGTCAACCACAAAAAAAATTGGAGTCACAAGTATAAGTC